TTATTTTTCCTTAATTTTGGTCTAATTTTTAGGTGTGACTTATGCGCCAAAGTTGGCAAGTCTAAGTAGTAACGCGTTCTATGCCATGTTGTGATTCACGTGATATATTTGGTTACTCAAAACCATTATCGGGTGAACGGAAAATTGAAGCCAAAGTGATGAAATGGAGTTTTTTGTGAAATTTCCTAAAGGTTTGGTTTAAGGTTTGTCTCACATTGATTTGATGGTGTGACAACCCGCACATCTGATCAGTGTTAAACTGTGATTGAGCATGATAAGTAACTGATTAGAATGAAATCCTGATTTGTTTGTATGAGTGTATTGTTTTAAATGCATTTCTATCTGTTTGATTACTGAATGATCTGTTTGTGTTTTTATTTCAAATTGCGAATTGAAAGCCTTATCGGCGACCGATTCAGAAATTGATTAATGTTATATGCTAATTAGGATTTATAGGATTTTATGGTAGGTTTAATTAAAATATAATTTGGATTGATTAAATTAGTTTAAATAATGTTAAATTACATTAGTTTGAAATTATTACCTTATTGCCATTAAGTGGTTTAATTCAAGGCCACTACTACCCTCACCGTTTTACACTTGTTTAGCATCAACCTTCACTTCATCTCCTAGACCAAACGTGAGAGAGAGAAAATTTGGAGAAAAATTGAGCTCAACAAGGAACCTTGCTTGAACTTGGAAGAAATTGAAGGAAAATTGCATAATTAGGCTTCTACATTGAGAATTTAAGACTTAAGGTAGGAAACTCACCTTCCTAATTATGAAATTGAGTTGTCACATGCATGGTTCATGAGAAATTAGTAATTTGAGTCAAGAATTAGCTTAATGTGTTAAATTAAGAGTCCATTCATGCATGCATGTCCTTATGTTGGGATTTTGAGGTTGTTTTCATGAAAATTCTTACATGCAAGTTCATATTTTAGTTGTAGTTCAAGAACTCACCATGTTTTAAAGTTCAAGCTTGCATTTGATTATGTTTTAGAGCATTAGAGTTCATAGGAACTTATGTAAGTTATGTTCTTGCATTATTCTTCAAGTTTCATTCAAAATTGTGTTCAATTGTCACACATTTGGGCTTGATTTTGTAAAATGATCTTTGAAACATGTTGTACTATGGGTTTCTAAGTGTTTTCCAGAAAATTATCCCAAAAGAATTGAGTTTGAAGCTTTAGAAGTTGAGTTTTGTGCTTGAGGATCAATCTGGAAATTCCAGATTTTGGATCCATACTCGAGCAGAGGACTTCACGCTCGAGCGTACACTCTGAGTACATGCACTTGAGCGTAGAAAGTCACGTTCGAGCGTGAAATACATATGCCCAGAAGTTCATTTGTTTTGCAGTCCGTTCGAGCGAGGGTCTGAGTCTCACGCTCGAGAGGAAATCGAGTGTCCGTCGAGCGTGAATATCATACAACCAGTACTTTTCATGAGTTTACAGCCCGCTCGAGCGAAGGAAGTCATGTTCGAGCGGAGCTTCGTTGTTTGTATGTCCGCTCGAGCGTAGAAAGCCACGCTCGAGCGTGAACCCCTGTTTCAGCAAATTTTGAAAAGTGTTTTAAAGTACATTTTTGCATCCTCATTTCATCCTAGGCATTCCTAGGTCAAGTTTAAGGCATCTTAATGAGGATAATGTTATAGAACCGCACCAAGTCAAGTTTAGGGGCTAAGCTATTAATTCTAAGTGTGTAACTTAGTGTGTGCTCATTCTGCAACTGTGTAGGGTTGGCACCCGAGGACGCTGACTAGCCTGTCTTTAATCCAGTACTCTGTGAGTAACAATGTTGTAAAGATACGTTCAATTATAATTATTTCTGAACAATTGACTGTACCGCTTTCTAAATGATATTACTTACTGAATGAATGTTTGTTCTATTTGTAAATTGTATTCATGACATCCATAGGAACTTACTGCTACTGTACTGTTACTGCTACTGTTACAGAGATCTCTGTCAGTTCCTATCCTTGGAACTACTATTACTGTATTGATAGCCATCAATTGACTGTTCGGTCTATTAAGACCTACGGTACTGTTTTGCTATTGGATGTACCACGTATGACTATTATGATTTCTAAATGACTGATATGGCATGAAATATGAGCCACTGATTAAATAACTGATTTACTGATGCAAATGACTATTTTAATTAATGAAAGGACATTCATTCTTAACCTCTTTACGCATTTGTTATTCACTGGACTTTAACTCACTGTTTATATTTATATGTAGGTGTCCAGGCACCAGACCGAAGCTAGGAGCGTCAAGTTAAGCTCCTGTTTTGTCAAGCCAACCATCGCGCCTCACTTCGAGGTTCCCAGTCCATTCAAGCTAAGGCTGTTTTGGGGTGTTTCAGAATCACCATTTTGTCTCTGTTTTGTATTGACTGAATAAGACTTGACTGTATAGGCAGGGTGATGGGATTGGATCCCTAACCTGGATGTTATGTATATATGTTGTATGTATATATGCTTTGACTATGAATGTGGCTCTGTTCATATAAGTCTTTTTCCATTCAGATTTTTACAGCTCATTGGACATCTTTTTATTTACTGTTTGGCTTCCGCCAGCCCCTTACTCTGTATTACTGTCTTTACTGTTAAGCAGGCCTTTGGTAATCACGTATTACTGACCGGTTACGATGCTAAACTCATAGGGACGGGTTTAGGTCGTAACAAATTAGGGGTGAGCATGGTCTGGATTGGAGTAAAACCAGGACCAATTCATTATCTACGGATCTTGAAAAATTGGAACCAATCCAATCCATTTAAATCGTGGAACCAATCCGAACCAATCCATTTAAACACGGATTGGATCGATTTAAGACTGCGGATTTACATAATTAAATAACAAAAAAATATATATAACACTTTAATTTCATAAAAATATAAATATAATATCATATTAGTTTCACAATAGCAATATGTCTTTTCATAATAGCGACAAACTATTCTAGAATTTAAACAACTAGTTCCACCATAAGTATTTAGACCATTACAAATTAACACTAAAAACTAGCAAACAAAAATAATAAAAGAATATACTATGCAAGTTTAGGTTTGGATTTAAGTTTTATATGAAATAAGAGAAGACACTATGCAGGAGAGTGTATAATAAAAATATAGACTATTTCTATATGATCCGGATCGGTTCTAATCCGAAACTGTGGGGTTCAATCCGAAATCAATCCGTGAACTATGAATTTTTAATTTTTCAATCTGGAACCAAACCACGGATTCAAAAAATCAATCCAAACCTACTAGATTGGACTGGACTGGATCGGATTACGGATTTCACGGATTTCTTGCTCAGCCCTATGACAAATGAGTATACTTTGAGTGGGTTTATAAGGCTTGAGTTTGGAACTTGGGGTAGACCCCAAGAGGCACCCAAGTTTTGTAGAGAGGGAGGTTATGGGTAAAAGTGGACTAGACCCATTGGACCCAAAAATAAACAAATGCGTGCCCCGCCGTCCGTTCGGTTGGTCGGGCTAAGTTTGGGTGCTAGTGTGAGGTTAGGTTGGGCTTGTCCGACTCAATACTAATTATTTTTTGGGCCAAAAACTTTTCAATTTTATTTTTCTAAAATTAAATTTTAATTTTTTGGAATTTGAATTTCGAAAATTAATTCCAAAAATTCTACCTGGTTTTTCCTCCACCAAAATTTTGCCCGGTTTTTATTTGTTTGAATTTAAACTGAAACAGATTCAGTATCTGTTCAAATTCATACCCAAACAATGCCTTAACTGTTTAAATTTAAACCATACCTGTTCAAACAGGTTTGCACCTGTTTAATTTAAACCTAACAGCCACAATTTCTCCTATAAATAGACTAGCCCCTCATTTGATTTTTTCATTTACAATTTTCGTACTTCTCCTCTGTAATAATTCTCTGTATTTTGCTGCATTAAATTTCTGTGAGAAAGAGTGTAAACACTTAGTGTGTTCGTTGTGCAAACAATTTGTAGTACTGTTATTGTTTGATGTTAATCATTTTATCATAGGAGATAGACGTCCACAATCTAAAAGTACCATGGAGATGACGAATCTGTTTTAAGAACACAGTATCAAACACTAGACTTGATCAGAAAATTTGTTTAACATATTAATTTGGTAAGTAATTAATTATTTTTTGTTTTATTATTTTTTCTGTTTCAGATTTTCATTTTGTTTTTGTAACAAAATAAAAATATGTTTTATTTATTTTATTTTATTTTCTGGTTTGATTTTTGTAATCAAACAAATTCTCTCATTTTCTTTATTTCTTCCGTATTCCGTTTGTTGTTAAGTACACGAACAGAATTTATTTATTTTTCAAATACCGCGAAAATTGTCCAACAGAATCCACACAAATCTACATGACACATGTGGGAGATTTGGTAGAAAAATTGATAAATTATTTAGAGTCCCTAACATCACTTAAAGTATTTTGCAAGATTTTGTCCTCTTCTAGGTGGCTATTTATGAGGCATAATAAGTTGGGAGAATTACAAATTAGTGGAGTCGGAAAAATATTTATAAAAAAGTGATAAATATTCTAATTATTAATAATTAAAATTATAAAAATTTTCATTAATGTTGGCTATTTATGAGGCATAATAAGTTGGGGGAATTACAAATAAGTGGGGTCAGAAAAATATTTACAAAAAAGTGATAACATTACAAATATTAATAATTAAAATCATTAACATGCATAATAATTTTTACAAACTTCTCGTGATTGGTAATTTTCCCTAATAAGTTCCATTATAATGAATTATACATGTATATGATGTTTGTAGTATGAATTTCAATAAATAAATATATAAAGAAAAAAAAAAAAAAACTTCAACGTATGGGTTTGACAATGTCAAGCACTTCTCCAAAATTGTGGTCCATAGAAATTATTCAGCATAATTGCACCATACATTTTGCATGGCCAACCCTAACACCACGCAAAACCATATAAAACACTGCACAAACTAATTATAAACTAATTAATAACTAAAAATAGCTCCTAATTCCTGTATAAAATCCTCTCCACCATCTCCATTATCCCTCAGGCCAGCATCAAGAGCATTTGTATATTTCTTCATCTACAAATCGAGTTTCGGTGAAAATTATTCTCACTTTTTTCTCACAATTTTCACCGAAAGATCATGGACATGAAGAAGATCGCCTGTGCCGTCCTCATCTCTGCTGCCTCCATGAGCGCAGTCTTTGCTGAGGTTTCATCTCCTGCTCCCGCACCCACCAGCGATGCCACCTTGGCCTTGCCTGTTGTTGGTTCTTTGGTTGGAGCCTCAGTTTTGTCATTCTTTGCCATGTACTTGAATTAAGCTATCAAAAAAGGGAAAAGCAATAAAGGAAAAAAAAAATGGATCAAAAAGAGAAAATCAAGATCAAGACAAATGGTAGTCGATTATTTTAGGAAAATGATTTACAAATATAAGTTTCGTATAGAAAGTTTTACTAGAATGATGTGGCACTGACAATTACAAGCCACGATGATTATGTTTGTATTTCTTCGTAACTCATTGCAATAAAAGAAGATTATTTCTTCTATTCCTTTCTTTATTTTGGATATATATTTGCATGTGTGAGATAGCCATTTCATTACATTTTTATGAGCTCAATGGGTGTGTAATATTGCTCAAACTTTTTTCATACATAGATTCAAGTATAAAATTAGATATAGAGCAAAATTACAGCTGCAAAACATTGTTTGGAAACAATTAAGAAAATTAATTTTGTGTGAAAATTTTAAAATTTTCAAAAAAATTACTTTCCAAATCCTTATAATCTATAAAGTATAAAAATAAATAAAGCCAAAAATAATAAATTTTTAATATTGAAAAAAAAAAAATCTGTCTAGTCTAGTATAACATAAAAGTGAAAGATCTTTGTGAATTTTTTTTTTTTTAATAAAAAGATTAACTAAAAATGAAAAAAAAAAGAGAAAAAAAAAAATCAACAAAAATAACTTCTAAGAAAATAGTTGCCAACTACAACCACAATGTATACATATAAATTACATAATGTGCATAATGTAAATCAACCCAAAGTAGTTGCATACTCTGTTTTATAAAGGAAGACACTTAACAGATTAGGTAAATTTTTCACAAGAAAAACACAACAGAGATGAGAATGCCTTTAAGATACTATTGCCTAGTTACTTCGGCCACGATTTTTGAACACCTTCCTGCTTTCGAGTTTCTTTTTTGCAGCTTCAAATTCTTCTTCAGAGGGTTCTGAAGGTGACTCCCCTCCACCATATTTTGTCACCAAAGATGAGAATAATGAATCAAATTGCTCTTTCCTCTGGTTTCGACGCTGAGAAATAATTGCATATAAATCTTCAGACTCTTTCTTCTTCGACCTGTGAAGGATTTTTACATATGGTAAAAGGTTGAGTCCAGCAGGGAAAGGGGAAAACTTTCTTGAAGCAATCAAAATCTGAAACAGATGACTTACTTCTCTCTGCGTCTTAAAGGACTAGTAGGAGGCTTTGTTTCGGATAGTTGCTTAGCCCATTTCTGATATGCTTTTGTTGGTTTGAGAACTTCTGCAGAGAGAGAGAGAGAGAGAGCACATTCAGAGTCATAAAAACATTGGAGTCCAAAGAAAAAAGAAAGAAAGAATGTAAGGCTTGTTGACAGCGTCCCTGGTGGAGTGAATTTGAGTCACAAAAACAACCTCTGTTTCTCAAAAAATAGGAATAAGGCTGCATACATGATTCCCTTTCCAAACCCCTTTTTAGCAGTAGTCTCGTGTACTAAATCGCCTTGTAGTAGTAGCAGTAATAATAATAATAATAATAATAATAACTGTGAAAAAAAGAGAGGCTAATCACTGGATGGGCCTAAGCAATTATCACTGAAAGGAAAAGAGGGTATATTTTTATAATGATTCAATTTGATATTTAAAAACAAAATTTTCATTTAACATCCTTCATTTTTACTATTGTACAAAAACAGTTTTCCAAAACTTGAAAACAACCTTTTATGTTTCCTAAAAACTTGGTTGTTTTTGAAGGAAAAAAAAATCAAAAATAATTTTTGGAAACAGTTTGTCAAACAATTATTTTTTTTATAAATGAAAAAAAAAAAAGAAAAAGAAAAAGAAAATACCAAATACGCCTTTAGATGTTCAAAAATGTGGACCTGAATGAGGGTATCAATCAAGCAACTGAATCCTGATCCCCCTCTTTCAAGTCTTCCAACTCACAATTTTCACCATTTCATATTTGTTGAACCAAAACTCATAATAGAAATCCTCCTCACCTGCAGCTATTGCCCCGTCAAGAATATCCTTGAATCGATGTGAATCCAGCTTAGGATCCGAGCAGAGCATCGAACAAAATAGCCTGTTAAGAAAAGAAGTTTAGAAAGCAAAATGGAAAGCCTACAGGAAGGAAACGCATTACTAATTCGCTCATATACAGACATACCTGTTCATATTACCTTTGTACTTCTTGTACAGGTCAATCAAATCATTCTTCTCCGATTCAGACCCTCTATAGTTTGCTTCAAATTCTTCAATATCAGCCTCAGTGACCTGCAAACAATGCATATGTTGTCTCATCAAGATATAGATTTAAAAAAAAATATTATCACACACAAATGTAATAAAATGCAATCTGAAAACTAACACGATATATTTATTTTAAATACAGCAACCTTCTTGTACATAGTTCGGAAAAACTCCTTCAAATTGTTAACAACCTCTCCTGCAAGGTCCTGCTCTTCAGGAAAATAAATAAATAAATAAGAAAGAAAAAAATGAGATGAGATGAAATGCATACCTCTCAATCAACAATAACTGCAAAAAATTGTTGCGTAGTGTTCTTACAGAGCACTTGAATTGACTACATTTTGTCCCTCAGCTTCTAAAATGGGACTTCTCATATTTTAAATATCATTTTTAGGAATTCAAGGACTGTAACCATAATAATTTTCCTTCTAATTTCTGGTATGACAAATTTTATGCGACGAGGCAATTTTGTCCTTGAATCATGCATGATACAAAAAAGGATTGGTGCCATCAAAATGCTATAAAAATCAGATATATTCATGTAGTGTCCAAACACACCCTAATGTAATTCTTTTAACATAGACATGCAGCAGAAAATGATATGAAAATTACTCACAGCATCATCAACACAACCAGTCTGATCATAGAGTGCCCTCTTCTCCTCATCACCAAGAATTGATATCACCTTCTGCAACTGCTGAAATTTCTCTTTTGCCTCCTAAAAATAAAAAAATGAAGGGTTAGTACTACAATATATATATATATATATGGTGAAAATTTTCATGGAGGACGGAAGTCAGTGCAATGGGAAATCAATTTTCACCTCATCACCAGGATTCTTATCAGGATGTAATCGCAATGCCAACTTATAATATGCTTTCTTTATTTCTTGTTGAGATGCTGTCTTCTCCACTCCAAGAACCTGCAAGGCATTCGATACTTTTTGGGTTAATGAAAAATGAAAAGTTCTTAAAATGATCCAATATCCCAATCTTAACACACTTCACGGATGAGATGAGTGCAATTATATAGACCTGGGGCTCATTTCAATTTAAACCACTCCCCATCCACGTGTCGCCAAGCCAATCATCTTGGCTTCACACATATAGGACACTCTAGCACTACTCCTACCCTCTGTGTTGTGTGTCTCACAACTAAAAGCATAGAGAGTAGAGAAATAGCTAATTAACTCCTATATGATCCAAGTCACATCTTCATTAATATCATTTTGCTATAAAATAACATAATTTGTATTTCACTATTTCTTGATCCTATTGGCAAGTATAAAGCTCAATAATTTTGATAATCTCGTGTTTCCTTCAAATAACATATTTTCATATCCCATTTCTGGTCTCCATCAAGAATAATTTATATTTCTTTCAACAAAAAAAAATGTAGATAACCATTCAAAATTCATCTTAATTGTCCATCACTGACACTTGAAAACTCCCATCTTCATTCATCTATTAGCCCATTTTTAAGTTTGGTTTTGTTAATGTTAAGTTTACAAGATGAAAACATAATTAAAAAATAAATATCAAAAACAAGAAAGAAGAAACGGGTGCACTTGAATCTAAATCCTAAGACTTGTACAAGCTCTGAAATCTTGATGTATACTACATAGGAAGAGCTTCAGTGTACATGGGCGTGCATGCAATGTGAGTGGAGGAGGTAGAACAATCCCCTTTTTCAAGCTTTAATACAGTTCAAAGTCAAAGTCATCCAAAAAAGGTCAAAATAATTAATGGAATAAATAAAAATATCAAATTTCAAAAGCATCACAAAGGCCTAAAACCTATGTTGTTCCTAAAATATACAAAGGCACCAGCATAAGCCTTATTGGCATGGAAATTACCAGCCAATGCTCACTGCCAATACCATTCCAGTTGATATATATGTATGAATTTGATGTACGAATTTTGAGCAACATAATTATTAGCTTTTGCTTAAAGCATCATGGTTTGTATTATGTCAGACATATTATTCAGGCACTGTTCTTCAATTAAAGACAAAAATTTAGCAACAAGGATATTAGGCCTGAATGCTCTTGTGATAATAATAATATAGCTGCAATATATTAAGTGTGGTCTCACTTTTTTTCTTTTATCAAAGTGACATTTAACAAGAAGCCGCCTCTTAGACATAATAAAAAGTTACAAATCTTGTTGAATATTTCGATAAACAAGAAAAAAGGCGGGCCTTCCTTGATTCGATGGAATTGGAATGAGGAATAATCTTTCTTCTTAGCTAAGCAGTTTTTGTTTTCTTCAGGCAACTCCCAGGTGCCAATCCTTGCTTTGTACTAGCAAAGATTACAAAATTACAACAGTATCTAACCTAAGCTTATGAAACGAGTTATCCAAACTGCTATTGCATCTAACAGGATACAAAATTGTTTACCATTTCTTGAGGCAATGTAAGGTATCTTAACTTCTCCTTATCAAGGACTTGCTCAATTTAAAGGGTTGGTATATTTTGCTGAAGAGAACAAGAAAGTGGTTACAGCAAGCAACCAAATAATTAGAAAATCGACAAAGATCGTAATAATATCATCTTCAAAGGAAGAGATATCTTGCAATTGAGAATGAAATATGTCATAAAGACATCTTTGTTTTTACCATTACATTAATCAAGTAATTTTGTCCACACTTATTGTTGATTTTGGGGTGAAAAATTCCTTGATGAGGTGTTTGCTTCTTTCTTTTTGTTGTCCTGTCCGTTGTATATAATTAAATGTAACTAGATTAAGTGAATTTTATGTATTTACTACTACAAAAGAAAACAATTAAAACCCATCAAGGTTGAAACTTTCTTCTATATCAAGAACTCTTTACTTTTGTATTAACCTAAATTTGTCAAATCCTCCTCAATTTACTAGAATAACTTAATTGAACTCTAAATAAAGCCCAATTTAGACACCAAAGCATCAAAAGTAATCAAATTTTTCAAAGCATCTTTAAGAAGAAAAGAAAAAAAGAAAGAATTTTTTTAGAAAAGCAATGAATTATCAATTTCAAGTCTTGCAGTGTATTTCATAGATCACTCAATCAATCAAAACTAACAAACATTTTGAAGAAGTGTCTAAAAATACAAGATTTTCATCTCCTTAAAAACCCTTTTCTATATACATAAAATTAGCATTAATAAGCAAAATTTATGAAAAAAGTCTCACAAACAAGAACAATTATCAAATTTACCTCGTACAAGCTCTCAATTGAAGAAGAAGAAGAAGCAGATGATTGGTTGAGATCGTCTTGATTTTGTTGCTCTTCTCGTGGATCTTGTTCCGAAACCCTAGTTTTCTTCTTTCCCTTCCCCGTCATCTTTAGTAGAGAGACGTGAAAATGAAGAAACTGAGAAGAGAGAGACAGAGAGAGGGAGAGTTGTATAAGCTTTTGATGATGATGAGTTTTGCCAATTGCGTAGCCTTTTGGTTTGTGTGAATTCATCGAACACGCATTTTCCCGCCAAATCATTGCTCTAACTTTACAGGGTTTCCCAGCCACCCGATGATGATGATCACCGCCGCCGAGTACGGCGGTTCATCTAGGGTGGAGATTTTGCCACGTCATCTTGGGGTCCACAAATTTTATTTATTTATTTATTTTTATGTTTGAAAAATGTTAGGAAATATTTTGAGGCAATTTGAAAACTTGCTTAAAAAAATTAATTTTTTTACTTTTTAATTTTACGAAAAAACCACTAAAAATTAAAAAAGTCAAAAAAATAATTTTTTATTAACTTTTTAAAACCCAACTTTATCAAATGCTTTATTCTATCAAATATCTCGACCCTACCATGTGGATCTTATATCGATATAAAACATTTAATAAAATATTTGAGATTCCTAACCTTAGTCTCTATGTATGACTTCTTTTTTTCTTTTTTTTTTTTCGATTCTTGAATAAGTTTTTCCTTATTTTACCACAGTCAAGTTTTTTTTTAATTTACTTTTAAAATTAATTTTTATTTAAAATTTAAAAAAAATCACATTATTTACATAAAAAATATATTATTATATTAGAATTTGGTTATGTGTAAGAGATAAAAGTTATATATAATAAAATATTTTTATATTACGTGATTGTTAATGTGTCATTTTTTATTCAATTTTAGACATAAGTTAATTTTTGAAGTAAATTAAAAAAAAATTAAAAGAAGAATTATCAAAATGAGAAAAGATAAACTTTAGCCTATGTTTGGCAACTTAGGTTTTGGGCTTTTTTGGCTATTTTAGTCACAAAAGACAAAATAGACTATTTTAACAACAAAAAACAAAACATCACATACAACCCATAATCATTACACTCTTTTCTCACAAAAAAAGTCAAAAAAGCCAAAAAGTCAAATAGCCCTTCCCAAACCAAGCTTTTTAGCCTAGGTCAAAATAGCTAAAAAAGTCAAAAAACTAAAAAGTCAACCCACTTCCCAAACCAAGCCTTAATAGCCAAAATAAGAAAATGACCAAGCATAAAAAGGCCAAGTGTAATTTATCCTTTATATATATTTTTTAAATATAAATTAGTTTAATAAAAATAAATACTAAGGCCTCGTTTGGAACATGCTAATTTAGTAACTTTTTGGCTATTTGGCTAAAAAAATAGGTAAAAAAAACTTATATATTTGGGATGACTTTTTGGCTAATTACAAAAAGATGTGCAAAAAGTAGAGAGAAAAGAGAATCTTTGATTTTTTAGTATGAGTTGTTGGCTTTTTGGCTAAAAAGGTAACTTTTTGACTTTTTGACTAAAAAGATAAGTCCCCAGACGGGGCCTAAGAACATGTTTTTTAATTTTTAAAACTTGTTTGGGATGTTCTAAATACGTGTACTTTTTGACTTTTTATGAAATATGTGTTGAGTTTGAAATGATGTGGTAGAGAGGTGATGCGACTTAAATAAAATAGTGACTTTTTGACTTTTTAACTTTTTTAGGCATGGTTTGGTATAATAAAAAAAAGTCAAAAAGTCAAAAAGATACTATCTATTTAAGTCACATCATCTTATTTAAGTCATATTATCTCTCTACCACATCACTTCAAATTTAACCCATACTCAACCCATATTTCATAAAAAGTAAAAAAATACACTTATTTTGTTTATCTCAAACAACTCCTTAGGGGATGCCAAACATAGCCTTAATTTCACTGCACGTAAAAATATATAAATAATTATATGAAAATGATAAGTGTTTTATTTTTTAACAATTCAATGTTAAATTTACTTTATTTTTTTTAAAATAAAAATTGATTTAAGTCAAACTAATGAAGAAGAAAGGGGTTAGAAAATATAATCTGAAGGTATAAACTCTTAGGTAGTGTTTGGTAACGTTTATGTTAACAAAAATTTTATAAATTGGTTTTTATTTATTTTTAAAAAAATATAAATTACAAACACGTTTGGTTTGAATAAAATGTTTAAAAATTTTAAAATAAACTAAAAAATATGTTTGTTCAGGCATAAAATATTTATATTTATTTTTATTATTTAAGACAATGGAATCACACATATTATAATTGAAAAAAAATTAATTGAAAAAAAAAATTAATTGGGAAAAAAAATTAATTGAAAAAAAAATTGAAAACTGAAAACGTAAACTCATTTTTTGAGTTTATGTTTTTTCCTCAAATATATAAACCGAGACAACCATTTATAAGCCAAAAAGATTATCAAACAAGTTTTTATGACAGTTTTTAAAATTTTTATAAATATAAACTGAAAACGGAATAGTTACCAAACAGGCCCTTATAAATCATAAAATAATAATATGTGATACATCAAAATACTTTCATAATGAATTAAGATTTTGATATATTTAGAGAAACTTGTAAAAGCAATTGCATACAATTGGCTCGTTTGAAAAATTAGCTATTTTAGTAAAATATTTTAATTTTTGATTATTTTAATAAGTTAAAATATTTGTATTTGTAAAGAGAGTTAAATTTTTTTGTGGTTGAACGTAATGTTTGTGAGAAAAAAAATGAAATGATAATGAATTTGATGTAACATTTTATCTTATCAGTTATTTTAACTAATTTTATCTTTTTGTGAATTTTAACCCAAAAAAAAAAACTTAAAATTGGCTTCCCAAACACTCCCAATTGTTTAAGCTTAGGGGTATGAAAAAAAGAGGATAAATTACACATACACCCATTAAGATTTGATTAAAATACGAATTGCTCCATGTGGTTTTAAAAATTACATTTCACCCCTAAGACTTCTAATTTTATAACAAATTGTCCATTTTATTAATAAATCATCAAACAAATTAGCTATTTTTAATGATGTTAAAAATATGTTTCAATTAATAATTTAAGTTATTTTATTATTGTATAGGAGAACATTTATGAATTTCATTTTTTTTAGTTAATACTTAATTCTGTTAAATAAAAAATTATAATAAGAGGATATTTGTAATTTTTTAAACTATATGAGGTAATCTATATTTTAAACAAAACTCAAAAAATATATTTGTAATTTATCCAAAAAAAAAAATAGTAAAAATTATTATAAATGTGTGCATTTCAACAATACCTTTTACTTTTATGAGTGGTTTATCTAGCTTTTAAGATTATCCGCATGGGGTGTTTGGGAAGAAAAAAAATAGTCTAATTTAGGCTAAAATTCACAAAAAGACAAAATAGGTTAAAATAGCTAATAAGACAAAATATCACATCAAACCCATAATCATTTCACTTTTTCTCTCACAAACATTACATCCAACCACAAAAAAATCCAATCATCTTCCAAAACACAAAAATTTTAACCTACTAAAATAGCCAAAAACTAAAACAGCCTACTCAAATAGTCATTTCCCAAACGAGGCCAGCTAGCAAAAGGCACAACAAAAAAAGAAGCTGATTGCATTGTCTACTCCATTGAAAATTCCATTTATAATGAGATTAGATAAAATACTTAAAATACTGGTCTGTCCTCTTATTGGAGATATTTGGCATATTTTATTACTTACAACTTTACAATAGTCCAAATACTTGTGAGCCATTTGAAAAATAATTAATATACTTCTAACATTGTTTATGTTTTCATTATACAAAAAGAAATAAACTCTTGATGGTATTAAATATCCGTGTTAATCATAATTAGACAAAAGAAAAAAAAAAGGACCTATTTTTATATTATTTTCACATAAAAGATAATATTTTCCAATATAAATAAAAAAAATTTATTCACATCACTTTAAAAAAAAAAGGAATTTATTTTGTTTTAGGATTGGTTTGGAATTAATTGATTATTTTTTAAAAAAAGAAAAGTTGAAAGAGATAATGAAGCTCAAGCCCACATGTGTATCCACTACTATTGGGCTAGACCCATCCCAATCTGAACCTGTTGGGCCACATAAACAATTTATTAATTTTGCCAAAAATGGCAAAACTGTAAATAAGTAGTTTAATGAGGGCAAATATACAGACCTCACCGACTAGGTGTGCTAAGCGTTCGTTGGCAGAGAGAAAAAGTAAAGTCTTAAATAGGATGGAAATGGGATCATAATTCAACCCTTTCTCTCTCCTCTATTTCTTTCTCTCTCTATATTGACGCTTATATACATCTCTCTCTCTATATCTCACCTATATACCCCTCGATTTCTCCGATCATCGCACTATTAAACCTCGATTAAGGTACTACTCATCTCTCTCCCGATGTTAATTTTGTATTTTTTTATTCTAATTTTGGTTTCGATTTAGGGATTTCTCGCCCAATTTTGTTTTCGATTTTTGACTTTTAATTCGATTCAGGAACAACCTGGTTCGATTTTGCGAGTCAAGATCGACCCAAAGCTCTCGTTTTGAAAACAGGTGAGGGGTTTCTTCATATTTATCTATCTATGTATCGATTTCTCTTCGTATCCATACATATATCACCGTATGTTCATAAAGCTGATTGCTTTTTGTACTTGTTCATGTATATTATTATTGGGTTTATTGGGTTTTTTTTTTTGTTTTTGGGTTGATTAGAGATAGGTACAGTGTTTAAGGGTTAATTTTTGAATTTGTTATATTTCCTAAGTTTTATGGGAAGAAGGTGGTGAGACTTCATTGAGTTATACATAGTATTTTTAGTTAACCCATATAAAATTTGTAAATATAGTCATAGTATTCAGGATATTTTTCATGTGTTATGGACTGAATTCTTACCTTATGGCTTGCTGCTTTTTCTTATGCCTATCGATTGACTGTTTAAAAAGTCTACTTCTGCATAATCTGGATGTTACCTAAGGGTTTTATCGATTTGGTAATATGGCTATTCATGGAACGTTTAAAGTGTTATGTGCTGGCCTAAGATGTTTATATAGGTTGCCCTGCCACTTCAAAATTTTGAGAATAGTGTGTGTTGTGGTGTGAGTTGTCCTCTGACATTTCATGGTCCTCGTGTAATTGGCCTCCTAAACATATCCTCCTCGCATGGGCGGGTGAAATTTTGAAAGAATCTTCACCTTCTATATGTTTCTGTTTTGTACTTATATTACTTGACATATGGTCCTCCACCACCTTTCAACTCAGAATGTTGTCACAATTATTGAATATTTGGAGCAAACTGAATGTAAAGGGCTTTTGGATTGTTACCATTATATGATGGGAATATGTTGTATACGATTCTATATAAAAGTAAGGAAATTGTTACTAACTCCTTAAACGATTCATTGTTTTTCCGTTTTTTCAAACCAGCTTGCTTGAACAATTTATTATTTTCTTTCAATCAGATTTTCTACTTTTCCCCCTCAAATTATTGATTCTTTCCTTCTCAGCTTTGTCTATCACATTATCCTCTTTCCTCTTTCATTCAGCGGACTAAGACAACTCTTCCATCCAAATTTTGTCTCTTTTTATCACCCATATTCCTCTCTAGTCTTCCCTTCCCTGCTTCACTCAACAACACACATCTTGACCTTGCACTAAGGGTGGAGGTTGCCATCCTTTTGGCCTCTCCAATGGAGTCCCAACTCCACCTTGCTCCCCGACCATATTTCCTTTGAAGAATTTTGGACAGGTTGGAATTTTTTTTTGGGCTAGTGGGGGGTTATTGGGAAATTGATAGTCTTTGTTATCGGTCGTTTTTGTAGGAAATGATTTGAAGAAAAGGAACACTAAGAATTGTTCATTATTGGATAACTGAAATTTTTTGAGTCTTGCTGGTTCAGTCTGACTTGCACTTGTTTATTTATTTTTGTCATTAGAAAGTTGTGCCTTTTTAGTTCTTGCATCCTTGGTGTGACTTAGAGCTGCTTTTCTTCTTTTTTTTTGGCATTTCTGTTCATGTGTGGTGGTTTGTAGAGAAAATGGTGTATGACTAAATAGTATACTGATGCGGACATATATGATGGGGTTGTAACTACAATTAGACCATTGCGGCAAGAGAAACTAATGAATTTTCAATCATCGTAGGATTGCATTTAGATTCAGTTTGAGCACTTACCTATTTGTCTTAATCATGGATGAATTAATTAAACACATTTGGGATGATGTCTAATGGTGTATGTTGATCGCAGAAGATATGCTCGACTGGATGAAACTAAGGGAGTAATTAGTGCTAAAATAGAAATTTGGAGAGAAGTACTTGAGTCAAATCGATTTAAAATAACTAGAATTAAAATTGAATATGTGGACTGTAATATTAGTAACAATAAAAGTAAAAATAATGGAGAAGTGAAGATAAAAAAACTATGAGATAACAAAGTGAATATTTTTGTTACCCAAGTTCAATTAGTACTAAGGATGGAGAGGTTGGAGATTATGTGATATGTATAATCAAAATTAATTTATTCAAGTGGATTATGTGATCAGCGAATGCCAACAAAATTCAAAAAAGAAAAAAAAAAGAAAAGAAGATTATAGAACTTTAAGGCAACAGGATGAAATTTTAAGCAACTGAATAAAATAAGCATACCTGAGGTGAAGATGCTTAGAGGATGTGTGGTAAAATTAAGAAAGACAAAATTAGAATTAAATATATTCGTGAAATGGTAACAATAGCACCAATTGAAAATAGAGAACATGCTAAGATGGTTTGGTTATGTACAACAAAAACTTGCAGATGAACGAAATGGCGAAAAAAGATTCATGTAGCTGACCTCACTTGATATTCTTGAAATGGTAACAATAGCACCAATTGAAAATAGAGAACATGCTAAGATGGTTTGGTTACGTACAACAAAAACTTGCTGATGAACAAAATGGCGAAAAAAGATTCATGTAGCTGACCTCACCTGATAAAACACAAATCTTAGTTTGGTTTGGTTTCATTTGTGTTCGTGTGTGGTGAGTTGAGGTGCGGGTATTTGTTTCTATTTGATGTATTTGTTGTTGACAGAATTTTACTGCAGGACATTTGAATAAATGGAGTCTTCCGATGAGACAGGATGCCAAGCTCCAGAAGGACCCATCCTTTGCATCAACAACTGTGGCTTCTTTGGCAGTGCAGCCACCATGAACATGTGTTCCAAGTGCCACAAGGACATGATCTTGAAGCAGGAGCAGGCCAAACTTGCAGCTACCTCCTTCGACAATATTGTGAATGGTGGCTCAGGCAACAATGGGAAGGAACCTGTAGTTGGTGTTGCTGTAGATGTGCAAGCTGGACCAGTGGAAGCGAAGGTTCTTTCTACACAAGCATTGTGTGATTCATCCTCAAGCCAGAGTTCAGAGGTGAAAGTAAAAGAGGGTCCAAACAGGTGCAACACTTGCCGCAAGCGTGTGGGTTTAACAGGTTTCAGTTGCAGGTGTGGAAATCTTTTCTGTGCAGTTCATCGCTACTCTGATAAACATGAGTGTCCATTTGATTATCGGACTGCTGCTCGGGATGCTATAGCAAAAGCCAATCCTGTTGTGAAGGCAGAAAAGCTGGATAAGATCTAGAGCCATGGACTGAAGGTTTATGTACTGAAGTATGATGCTTTCTCTTTACATCCATCCGTCTTCATATAAATTGGTTGCTTGTCATGTTAGGTGTCCTTTAGTGATATAAATGGGTTAAGGCATGAGAATGAGGGCATCTATGCAGTCTAATGAACTCTATCATCGTTGGTTACCAAGGATTACTTGGTTGCTGCAGTGTGTAAGTCTTTATTTGTGCTGGCTTGATGACATCTTTGTGGTTTATTTGTAATTTGCCCTTCTGGTTCTTTTGCATTTTCTTTGGTATTTATATCTCATAATGGTGTGTGCAGCTTGGCTATAATTAAAAAATCTGTGTTGCTAATTGTCTCTTGGTTACTTTCTATGAGTGGTATATGCTTTACTTCAAGCAGCTATGCATTTTGCATGTAATTGCAGTTATGTAGCTGACATATAACTGATATAGTTGTGTATTTACTTTGGTTCATCTGTTCTTACACCCATCTATCACTTATTTGTTTTCTTCAGTTAGGTTTCGTGAATTGGCGTTCTAATGACATTGATGGTTGGTGTTTCTTATTTCACCCACATTTTTATTTAGGGAGGGGGTGGTTTGTTCCCTCCTTTTCTTTTCTTTTTCATTAGATGTATAAGGGCTTTATGTTATGGAAACATGTGACTTGTTGATGCTAGAATGTGTTTGTGATTCTCTTTTCTGATTACAGATATAGAGCTCTTCTTTGGGCTTCACCGCTGGGGTTGGGTTCTTGTACATTGTTTCTTTGTAGGTAGACCAAGAAAAGAATTGCAGAAGGCTAGGAAATGTCATCATGCATCTTAGAAAATGCTAGGGGCTGCTTGGTTGGTTTCTATGAAGCACGGATACTTCAAAATGGGTGATGTATCCGTATTGGATACCAATACTTGTTGGATACTTACAGATATCTGATACTTATTAAAAGTATCGGATATTTCTTAATTAATTTTTCATTAATTTTGGAGTATTAAATACTTAATTTTGAAGTATTGGATACTCCCAAGTCATAGATTACTTCTTTTACAAAATTAGAATTGTAGTATTTTTTTGCATATCATTATAATATAATATAATTTCAAAGATAAATACAAGAATATGCAAGGATTACTAAGAGAATAAAACAATAGTAAAATTAAATATCAATAAATAAATAAGCAAGTAAACTTGAATACAACAATTTTTACTTGTGCCAAGGAAAAAACCTATGGACAAATTATGGATTGTTCTATTATTGTAATATAAACATATTAAATTTGATATTGAAATTAAATATTTGTACGGCCTATTGAAAATTTAAAAAGTAAACAAGCTAGTAATTTAAATTAATACATAATTCTTAAAGATTAGTATTTTGCATTATAAACTTACAGTGTGGTCCAAATCTTATTTTTTTAAGTTTTGTTATATCAGCTTATCCGTATCGTATACGTATCTATGCTTCCTAGATTGGTTTTCTTTTTCTTTTCTGTTTTTGGGGGGGGGTGGGGGTGGGTGGGTGTGCGTGCATCAGTAGATATCTTGTTTTGGGGGAAATCTTTTGCACCATTGAGTTTTCATTTTCATTTATCTATCTCTTTGCAGAAACATTACCTTGGAAATGCCCGTGTGAATGAGAACCACACTTTTCTTTCATGAATGGATCATTGCGGGTGTATGTAGAATTGATACTACTTGTCAGGAATCATAAACGTTTATTGATATCAGATGGTTTTATGTCATTTAGCATGGTTTATTTTTGCATTTCATTGTTCCTTTCTCTACAGATGTAAGGATGAAGGAACTTGGGTTTGGGATGGTGGTTAGTATATGTCAGCAGAATCAGATGGAATTGGAGTCGAGTTGATCACTTAATGTTTGTATGGCATTGACTGATTCTTTTTGCATTCTTTGTACTAATAATTTTTTAGTTTCTGAAAATTATTTGATGCTCTTTTTGGAAGGGAAATTTTCAGTATCTGCATAGAAGATGATTTTCTCTTACTGGGAGGAGGATCTTGGTCAGTCCATGTAACATTAAGAGCATGTGGTCAATGCACTTGTTTGGGGCTATAGTTGAGGGAGCAATTGGGAGTTGGGTATTGTGTTGGCATGAATTCTGTGTGCTGTATGTAACTACATGTATTTGTTGTGTTCATAGGTGTATGTAAGAGATAGAAGCCAAATGTATGCATATTAGAATCTTCAGTGCTGATAATACATCCTCCCCCTATTTTTTTCCTTTTCTATTTTTATTCCCATATATTGAGAGTAACGGAATGTCCAGCCTTTGTTAGCCCAATTCTTGAGAATCGTCCAATGGATATTAGATTTTGTCAGAACTTAGTTTAGTGCGTTTAGGTGTAATACAATCATTAACAATTAAAGAATATGTAGACGTTCTGAGCTAGTCAAGAGGATGACATTGTTGACTGTTGGAGAGGTGTCTGGTGGATTGCATGATATCTCAGGGTGATGTCAATTACTTCATCCAATCATTAGCAATTGAAGAATATGTAGATGTTCTGAACTAGTCAAGAGGATGACATTGTTGACTGTCGGAGAGCTGTCTGGTGGATTGCATGATATCTCAGGGTAGATGTCAATTACTTCATCCAGTGGCTGGTCCGGATTGTCATGGACATTATTCTTTCAATGAGTGGTATGAATTGTTAAATGAAAGGAGTGAAGAAACTCACCTGGCACTTAGTAGGTGGTTCACAAATCCTTTTGACTCTACTGTTGAAGAGTTGAATTATTTGGTGATTGCACTTCATCCATTGGTATTTGGCTTTAGATAGATAAGTCATCTTCTCTCCAACTACTGTGTAGCAGTGAGTGTGTAAGAGTGAGTGAATGAGCAATGACACGTTTTGGTATATATCTGCAGATGTTTGGCTCAATTGTGAACAAATTGTAGTCTTTATTTTTGATTTGTTGACATGAAAGAGGTTTCCTCACGAAATCCGTTGATTCTGTGTGACGGTCTCTTACCTGACCGGTCCCCTGAAATATGCTTCTTTGTCAAAGCTTACTCTGTTAATTATTCTCTTCCCATCTGAAGTCCATTGTTAATGAGGATTGAGGTTGTTTAAAACTATAATGAAAACCCAGAGTATTTTTAGCTTGTGAGGGGAATTCGAAAGCAGTAGTTCCACTAAGGTCACATGTAATATTAGAAACGAGAAGTGTTGTTATTTTATTTTATTTCTACTTTTATTTTGGCGAGGTTCAAAATATATCTTACTCTTAAGGATATGGGGGAAGGGGAGCACTTAGTGACGGGTAAACTTACAACAGGTGACGGGTGCCCAACCTCGCCTTTGGCAGGATTTGAACTGCAACCTCTCATATGAGAGTGTTGGTGCCATCGGGCTACAAGCCATCAACAGGTGTAGAGATCTAGAAGGCTTGATTTTTTGGATGCAACTTTATGGACCTGTTTTGCCTTCTGTTTTTTATTTGGAAATTCAAATTCCAATTTATATCATCTAATCTGTAATCTAACCTGACCTAAAGGGCAAGAGATCTCAACCTTGATGTCTATTGGAGTACTGTAATAATGCCATTTTCTTAAATTGGTTCTATCAAAAAGTTGCACTTGTAAATTTGAGGCATCATCACTTTTTGCTCACTCTCACTTTCGCTTGGTTGTTTGGTATCTTGAAATCTATTTTCTTGCAAAGAACAGGAGTGAAAATGTAAGAGAAAGAACTGTGTAGCGCAGTGAAAGGTTTTCTATTGGGGTTTCTCGACCGCATGGTCTTCACCTGAATTTCAACTCTCTCTTTCTCTCCTTCATTATTTAGCTTGTTTTCTATTCGTCTATTTAGGATGGGACAGGCAGTCCCCACACACACACACACACACAAAGGGTAAATTATGAACGTATTTTTTTAAATTAGTTTAAAATGTAAATTGTCTTTTGTGATTTTAGAAATTATATTCTATTTTTTCAAGTTTTTAAACAAATAATAAATGACTCATTTTATTAAAAAATCATTAAGTCATTTTACAGTTTATAATGACACTAAAAATATATTTCAATTTACAATTTAGGTAAATATATTGCTGTATAGAATAGTAGTGACAAAATTTATTTTGTCTGTTAATTTTGTTAAATAAAAAATTTTAATAAAAGAATTTTGTAATTTTTAAAATTATATAGAATAATTTATATTTTAAATAAATTTAAAAAATATATTTTTAATTTATCCAAAGAATAATGGTATCTCCATGACCAAACTAATACTTGTAATTTACTGATGGTTACTTCCGGATAGACTCTGAAGAGTGATCCTAAAAGGTCTTATCTGGAGAAGTTTCTTAGGAATGTAATTGGTTGGGTACCACCAGTATTTAGGTAAAAAAAATTATCAAATTGATAATATTGGTTTTATTATATTGAATGTTAGTATAGATCACTTCTCTCATAATACCGAACCAATTGAAATGGTTTAATTCGGCGTGGTTTTATCGGTTTAGAACTTTTCAAACTTAAGCTACTTTTTACTATAGTCACTAATATATATAAAAATATTAAATTAGTTATTTGTCTACAATTTCAAATATATTCAATCAATCCATTTAATAAATATTTTTCAATTCCTAGATTAACAAAAATACAAACAAAAAAAAAGGTTATAAAATACTAAGATTTTAAAAATAATGAGTTTTTTTTTTTTGGATCAGAAAATAGAAATATCCATTAAAATAGCTCAACAACAGTTACAAGGAGAGTAATCCATCCAAAACAACAACTTACACCATCAAAGGTAAGATGAAAAATCAAATAAAATACAGGAGTAAATCTATGAAGAATGCCCAGCTACACAACCAGTGCTTGTGCTCGTACTGCAAGCAGAGGTCGACAGGCGACCGTAGAGCATGCCGAGGATAAATCATAGAAAACATCCACAAAGTGGGTAAGCAACACTACGCACAGATGAATTCCTAATACAAAACCAAACTAAAATAAAACAATAACAAAAGAAAGCCCAGACTCAACTGCCGACCGAATCGGTAGCAGATCTGTAGCAGATTTTCACCAAACAGGTTGAAGGAGGAGAACCCAGGAGGCCAATGGTGGAGGCAGCAGATCCGGCAAGAGGAGGTAGATATGGTGTCGATGTGGTGGTGGCGACGCCGGCGTGAAGCTAAGAGAATGGAGCAGACGGATCTAGTGAAGGCTTCGACTAGGATAAGGCAGAGTGAAGGAGGAGTGAAGAAAACCAGACTAAATCCACCGAAAGGGGAAGAAACACCTCACAAGGAGGGAGAAGATGGAAAGCTAAGCTTCCAAGGCTTATTGCCCAAAAAAGGCCGTGGGAAACTGAAGAAAAAAAGAGTAGAGA